TAGTGAGATTAAGTTGAAATTCTACTGTGCGCCTATGTAGTAATGCTCGGTTTGAGAAGTTGCAGAGTATTTTCGTAGTCCATGTTTCGTAATTTGGATGGTTTTTGTGTGCAGGAAATGTGGTGATACCAAAAAGAGGTTCCGAAACGTTCATAAGTGCAATCGGACATTTAGATGGACGCATAGACCTGTTCAAAACCAAGACTTTCTCAGAAGAAATTAGCCATGATGATTTTGAGGGGAGTCAATTGCCAGTGGGGATTCGAAATCGGGCTCTATTGGACATGTGCATGATGGCTTCCAAACTAGCCTACGAGAATGATAAGGTTGTCAAAAACATCGTAGATCTTCATTGGAAGGTAATAACATCCGTATAATACTGCCTCTACCTGTATATCGGTTTATATATAGCGTATAATTACTGCACATTAACCTTTGAAATACCATTTCTTCTTAACAGATGCATTTTGTTGACTTCTACAATTGTTGGAATGGTATGAACTTCACGTCAAACTTTATCGAAAATGCTAATATATCTTCACATCCTCACACCACTAGTTATATGTTTTATTTCCAGATTATCAGAAAGAGAACTGTACCCAAGTTTTCATAATGTGTGACAAGCCAAAAGATGCAAACTTGATACTCATTAGCTTCCGGGGCACTGAACCGTTTGATGCCGACGATTGGATCACGGATTTCGACTACTCGTGGTACGAAATCCCAAAACTCGGGAAAGTACACATGGGATTTCTCGAGGCCTTAGGTTTAGGCAACAGAGTCGAAGCCTCCACGTTTTACGCAAATCTTCGAGCCAACTGCAACTCAAAAGATAATAAACCTCCCAAATTAAACGGTTATAAGGAACTTACACCTATGGGAAAGAGAACTGCATACTATACCGTACGAAGCAAGCTCAAGGATTTGCTCCGAGAGCATGTGAATGCAAAGTTTGTGGTGACAGGGCATAGTCTCGGTGGGGCCCTCGCCATATTATTCCCTACCGTGCTCGTGCTGCATGAAGAAGAGGAGATTATGAAGAGGTTGTTGGGGGTTTACACTTTCGGGCAGCCTAGGATTGGTAATAGACAGCTCGGAACTTATATGCAAGCCCGTCTCGAAAAGCCCGAGTCAAAGTATTTCAGGGTCGTTTACTGCAATGATCTTGTTCCGAGACTGCCTTATGATAATAAAACCTTCTTGTACAAGCATTTTGGGGAGTGCTTATACTTCAACAGCCTATACGTTGAGAAAGTAAGTACTTTGTGTTACTTTTGGGTAGCTTTTGTTGCTAATCCTTTTAACGTGTCAAATGATGTTTGATTGTTCTGCAGAATGTGAAGGAAGAGCCGAACAAGAATTACTTTGGGTGGCGATTTCTGGTTCCTGAGTTCTTAAATGCTGTTTGGGAATTGGTGAGGAGTTTTATGATGGGTTATATATACGGGCCGGGTTATAAAGAGTGCTGGGAATCTGTTATGCTGAGGATAGTAGGATTAGCAATCCCGGGTCTTTCGGATCACAGCCCGGTTGATTATGTGAACTCTGTAAGGCTAGGAAAGAGGAGATGTCTTGAAATGATGTCCTTATAAAGTAAGACATCCGGTGGAATAATATGTATGTATCAGTATCACGGCCTAAAAAAACATTATTGCAATTGCTTAGTTAAAAGTTATATAATTTGAAAACGACTTCTTAAACGGTGAGGTCTCTCTATAAACCGGAGCCTTTAACTTCATTAATTGATATTTTTGGTAGCTTGTATAGTTCACACCACACTCTTTGGCTCTACCCACAAATTATCCAGAGGTCTTTCACAACCAGACCCACTTATACAATACAACATTTAATTTGGAAAGGTAGCTGATAGCTGACCCTCCTAGTCCGTTTTTGATCGAGTGAGAACTTCATTTTTTTGAATTTTAATAAGATTTTCTCGGCTTGATGGATACCCATTGCTACCTATGGAGAATTGCTTAAGTAGCTGAGAGGTGCTGATCCAATCCGATCCAAGATGAGGCTCCGTAAGGAGAAATGGTAAAACCCTTTTCTCACTCCGTGATTTCCATTTAATGTCCTAAAGTTGACATTTCTTCAGAAGAACGGGAATGGAAGACGACCCCAAGGCGAAGTCGATGAGACAGCGAATCGAAAGTTCCGTTCAACCAGCGAAGGTTAGGGTCGATGTAATTTGGGGAAGTAGCATGCGAAACCTTTGTCGTCCCTCTCCTCTCCCTTTTTCTATGACTACTAATTACTTCGTTTCGTTCCATGCAATTGACTTCCCTCTGTCTTCTGAATCTTTCTCTTGAGGAGTCGAGGTGAAATATTAGACACTAATATAAGATATACGTATTGATAAGTCATGTATGTTTGTTAGTTCAACCAAATTCATTTTTGATATAGAAGAGTTTTACCTTTCTACTATTTATATATAAATACACACCAAATACTGAATTATATCATAATTTGTATCAAAAATACCGGTCAATATAATGTAAAATTAAAGGAGATTTTATGGTCTCGTTACGGAACTATTCTGTCGGAATTTGTAACCGTTAGATCAACTATCCACGACGGTTACATGATGATCTAATTGTTACAAATTTCGACGGAATGATTCTGGGACTGTAGCATTTCCCTAAATTTAAAGAAAAGATCATTATTATCTTAAAAATTCGGAACTTGAAATTGGTAATCTTACTTTATATTTTATTGGAGGTTGATATTTAGTGAATACAATTATTGTTCTTTTTTTTTTTTGATGTTTAACAATAAAATTTATTATTAATGCTATCATATTGGAAACTCCAGGGCGGATTTGAATAGGGCTTACGTAAAGTAAATATGTATAATTACATCATTTGGTATTTTGTCATGGGAGTTGGGTAGTGTAGCCGGACGGTTTCATAAATATAATATACTAGTACAACACCCGTGTATTACACGGGTGCTTGCTAATTTTTTTTCTTAAAATCTAAAATTAATGAGAAAAAGTAGTTTGAAAATTTAAATGCCTTTTATAAGAATATATATATTATTATATATTTATTATGACATTTTTTATTTGTGCAACTTACTTGTGTTATATTATTCTAATTTTTTTTTAACTTACAATATATATATTTATATTTATTATATAAATATTTTTATTATACTTGTATTATATATTTATTATGTTTTTTTTTTAACTACATTACATATAAATATATCAATTTAAAAATAATTTTAATATTTTAATGGATTTCAATAAATATTATTATTTTTTATTATTATAAAGATAAATATAATTTATTTATTTCATATATATACAATATGGATGTCAAATCGAAGATCATCAAAAGATGATTAATTTGATATATTATATATGTAAAACCGATAAGAAATACAAAAGTTATCAACTTTTAAAATACATTTATAATTCAATAGCTTATTGAAGGAAACAAATCAAAATTCAGGGATATATTAGTCACTTAGTGCCCCACTATGTAAAATTACAAAGAATTAAAGGGTTATATTAGTAAAAGTGATATTAAAATACCTAAATTAGCTAAATAATATTTATGGAATACCCGAATCTAGATTATTACTTATTAATATATCAATATTATTTATCCAAACCTAATTACGAAGCATGATTCTTCGCCAAATAGGATTCCAAAGCACCAAAAGCAACCACGTAGGCTCAGCGTATTCTGAAATTATATATAGGGAGGATATATATGGTCACGCTCGGGTATTTCCACACACAACTCACACACAACATTTCCCGTCACCAACACGCCCCTTCACACACACACACACACACACACACGTTATAAGAGCCGGACTTCCACGGCGGCGCAGCCGCCCCGACTCCTGCCAGAATAGTGTCTCACCGACGTCCGCAACAACAATCCCATCATCTGCCGAAAGCGGTGATCTCCGAGTCGTCGCCGTTCAACTCGCCATCTCCGAGACCTTCCTCCAGTGCGAAGTATGTCGCACACCGGCGGCAGACACAATCATCCAACCACTGAAAATCGTCGCCCTGTCCAGCCGGCCACCTCCGCCAATGTCTGCGACGATCGAGTCCGTTCAAAAGTCCGGCCAAACTCCGCCCTGCTCCACCGTCATGTAAGGCGTCGTCGGAGAGTCCTTCGTTCCCGACGTTGTCTGAAGGCCTTCGTGTCCGGCGATGCAACTGCGGCCGAGCCGAGATGCCGAAATGATCGAAGGGTCTGCAAAATGAATAATGAGTCTGCAACTTAGATTTGGGGATTAGGGTTTAATTTGTTTTTTTTTTATTTAAATTACATGTTGTTCAAAGACTTATTTGCAATTTCATGCTTATTGTTTTTCAATTAATCATTGGACAAATATATAATTTATAACAATATTTTAGTAAATGAATATTGATGACAAGTAAAAAAATGCACAATAGTTCAATTTCTTAATGTGTAATTTTTTACATTTTTTTTTGTTGGTGCAAGTAATTTTTTACATATTAACAATTATATGTATTGCATATTGCACAATATTAGTACACGGAATGCACGCTAATGATGTCAATGATGCACATTATCGTAACCTAATAATCCCGCGTAAAAAACCAAAAGTACATTGGTACGCTATTAAAATGTGTTTTTACTTTTAAAATTAAAAAAATATTTTTTAAAAATATCCGAACTAATAGATCCGATCAAACTATATTAGAATATTATGACCAATCAATACAAAATAACTTCATTCCGAGTGCAAATTAGTGTTATACTGATTATACATTAGCGAATGTCATGTTGCACCTCATCGACCAAAACAAACCAACTAAGTTTTTTTGTCCAAAATTTTATATTTTGGTTCGATATCTTTTTTTTACTTTTAGCTAATCTTTTTTGTAAATAACCTAATAGATCGGAATATAAAAAATATATATTATTTTTTTATTTATATATTTTAGGTCTTTAGAACAAAATTTAATAGAAAATATTAAATATAACATTAAAATATTAAATATGTTTTTTATAATATGAACTGTAATTTGTTCCCATTAATTATGTTAATTCGATTAAACGATGAATTAAACCAACTATTTCATTTGGTTTAATTTGACTTGGGCAAATCATAAAAAAATGAATAAACTGCTCGTGCACAATAATGTTGGGAGGATTGCACTATAATGACTATCGGATTGCACATTCATGAATACCAGATTGCACAATAGCATCTGTAATCGATCGAACTAAAAATCAATTCAAAATATTTTATTTGTTCAATTTGATTGTATTTGTTTTACTTTTGAATCGCATATATACACCCAGTGTTATGCAGTCAAGTAATCAAAGTAGCGTATTTATTATTATTTTTTAATAAGTGACTAATTAAGACAATATTATTTAATGTACGTATATACACATAATATTGTGCAGTTTACTTATTAATAATGTTCAATTTTTAAATTTTAATAAATTGTAAATTTGACACATGAACTGAATTGAATATAGTTAAAAATATTTATTTTGTAGATAAGTCCATGAAACTTATCTAATTTACCAAATCAAGCCCCCAAACCCCAAATTTCAAAATCAAATAATCCACCTCCCATCTTTCAATTGAGCCCGCCGCTGATAACCACAGGGTCGAGCCCGGCGGCGGCTGCTTGAATGGAGGTGAGACCTGAATTTATCGGCCACCTCACAGTACTCAATTTCGTCCAGCCACTGCAAGGAAACCGATGGACAGAATGTAAAACAACAACTCTAATTCGCTACATTTTCAAACTTGCCAGAACAAGGAAGGTCGACGACGGACTTCATCGGCTTCCTTCTGTCGGCGACGCGGCAGACGCTGGGAATAAAGGAAAAGATTAAGCTGGATGGAGTGGCGGAGATGGGTTGTCTGCGAGAGAGAAAGCAGATTTGTAATATAGTGTAATGTCTGTTTCCGGTGGCAGCCGACGGGAAACGAGCTGTAGCGGCGGACGACGGGCGGGTGAGAGTCAAGGGCGTAGCTACATATAAATTGACTAGGGCTGTAGCCCAGGCTGAAAAACAAGGAACACTACAATTATATATTAGTTAATGAATTTTAAATTAATTTTTATTAAAGATAATTACGAAAAAATTAATAGACTTTGAGATGTAGTAATGTGGAAATATCCAAAAGGAATTTAATTGTCTAATTTACACACCACTACATGTGTGTATGCTATATTTGTAATTCCATGGTGAAGGCAAGATTGAATATTCCATATTTGAAAGCAATAGATAGCATTTTGTTTTAAATTTCATTTTCATTGAGTGAAGAAAGAAATTTGATGGTATAAATAGGTGTGAAATAAAATAATCATAAATTTCACTTTTTATTGTTTTAATGGTTGGTAAAACAATGTGGCACATTATATTAAAAATTTATATAAATGGTTAAACATTAATATATGAAATAAAATAATCATAAATTTCACTTTTTATTGTTTTAATAGTTGGTAAAACAATGTGGCACATTATATTAAAAATTTATATAAATGGTTAAACATTAATATATTTGTTAGTATCACGAGTATATGTTTATTTTTTTACCTAGGATTTTTTTTTTTGTACATATCTTTTTACCTAGTTAATGAAAACAAAAAACTACTATCCGAAGGTAAAATGTAAGTTTTAATCTCCTCTTTTGTTGATAAAAATATATATTAAATAAGGAAAACAATATAAGTAACATTTAAAAAATTATTAAGAAAAATTTATCTACCTTTTGATGCTTGAAATTTATACTTGTTCATTTTTGTAAGATGGACAAAGTATAATAGTGTTCAATATTAATTACCAATTTATTTTAGAAAAAAACTAAAATAATTAGGAGCAAATATGCCGTCCTTCAATGCTTGCCACTATGGCATTAACTAAACTAGCCCCGGCTAGTTTTGAATCCTAGCTACGCCCCTGGTGAGAGTAGTGGTGGAGGGCTTCGTTTCTGGTGGTGGGAACTTGAACACGCGAAAGAATTTCAGATCTGTATGAGATAGAATTATGGTGGAGGTGGTGGGGCCCAGGAGATGATTTGTAATATAGTGTAATGTCTGTTTTATCCTTGATAAGTGGACAATGTGTATATTTAACCACCATATGTATATTTAATTACCACATTGCCATTAATAATTGACAATATTTTAACTTCATCTTAACCATTGATATGGTGTATCCAATGCACCAGATATATTATTATTTTTTTCCTAGAGCATCATTCTCATGTGATCCTAACTCTATATATATATAGAGATTAGATTCAATGAGTCCACATATTTAAAATGTGAATGTGAGACCCATTCCTAGCCATTAGATCGGTACATTATGTGTTGCTAAGATTAACTCTTCAATTAAATAATAATTCTTTATTTTTATTATTTATTTCTTTATTTTTATTATTTTAATTATTTAAATATAAAATTTTGACAATTGACCATTGACTCCGGCGTTGACCGTTGACTCCGGCGTTGACCGTTGACTTCCGATGAAATCGTTTACTTCCAGCGTTGACCGTTGACTTCCGACGTTGACTTTCAACATTGACCGTTGACCCTTAGTATGCATTGTGTATGAAGTAAATATGCATCAGTACTATGCACTTAGTATGAACTAAATATGCATCATAAATGAATTATATATGTCATCCTTATGGACTAAATATACCCCAATAATATCAACTATGTATGCACTGTTTATGTACTAAATATGCACATTTTACTATCTAAATATGCATCATGAATGAACTAAATATGCAACGAAAATATGCAATAAAATACACATTTTATACAATTAAATTATATATAATAATTAATGATTTTTATTATATAATTAATTTTAATTTTAAATTGTTTAATAACACAAATAAATTGTTATGATTGGATCTCAAATAAAATAGGTATGCACTGTTCAAGAACTAAATATGCATTTCGTAAGAACTAAATATGTATCATGAATTAACTAAATATGCATCATATATTATCTATATAAACATCATTATATATTTAATATAAAAATAACAAGTATGCATTTCGTATCAACTAAATATGCATCATAAATTACCTATATAAAATGTACATTTTTATTGCATATTTATTGCATCATAAATACTAACAACGCCATTTTGTTTGTAGTATTTTTGGGCTATTGGTAACCGAGTTACCCGGACTCGGGTCGTTCTCAAAGGAAGGCTCTTCGGAGCTTCGTTCATTATCTAGTCGCCAAATCACACAACCGAAAAGGTCCTAAACATGCTACTCGCAATTTGGGGGTTTGAATTAAAGCTAGACTAATTTACGAAATTGAAGGCAATTGAAAACAATTAACAAGGCAAGAGAAAGCACGCAAGAAGATGAGAGAAATCGGAAAGAGAGATTTTGGTTCGTCGGAGTCTCCATGATCAAACACACACAAATAACCGAACATTGCCATGCTAGCTAAAACCCTAGGAAGCTAAACCAAAAATCTAGCACAAGACGAGCAAACATTTAACTCTTAATCACACTTAGTCAAGCATTCACGATCTAAAGATCCAATATTTTCCTCCTAGCAACACAAGCACAATATCAATTTTTACAAAAGCAAACAAAGATATACAAAGTAATGAGGCTTAAGACTAAATACCCACTCTTACACGCAATTAGAAGGATAAACGGAGTCAAAATCCTTCTATTTTCTATTTATTTTGTAACGTGCCATATAACGAAAGAATGAATTCAGTGAAACATGACATTTGATTTTATCAATTAAATGAACCAAACCAATTATTTAAAAAGGTCATATTGCAATTCACAGTACTGTAACAAATCTCATATAAATTAATAGATTAGAAAGAAAAACTAAAATATTAATGATATTATAAAATATAAAAAAAATATAATAATTAATGTAATTAAAAATCAATAATTATTTTTAACTTCAAAATAATATATATTACAATATTTTTGGCATAATGGTTGGTTATAATATTTGCCACAATTTTTTAGCTTTAGTCTTAACTTATTTGGAAATCCAAATAATTTATTGTTGCAAGGAATGTTGTAAGTATTATTTATTGATAGCATTTGAGTATGTTAAATTTTTCTTATCTTTAAATATAAATATGATCTAAATTGACAAATTATAACGAGTGAAATAAATATGTAAATCATATATTGAATTATTATATATCATAAAATAAAAAAATAACTATTAATATTTAAAACTATTTTATACTAATAAATATTTTTTTATTGCTTTAATACATGCAAGTTATAATTATTGCCTACATACTAATCTTAAAGGTGTATTCAATTGAGATTTTTACGGACTTTTATAAACTTTTTAAATTTGATGATTTTTGTGGACTTTGTAAAACTTTCATGACTTTGGTGGACTTTTTGAGACTTTCAGAGAATTTTCATTAGTGACTTTTTAAAACTCATGTGTAATACACGAGTGTTTGTTAATTTATTTCTTAAAATCTAAAAATAATGAGAAAAATAGTTGAAAATTTAAATACCTTTTATAAAAAAAATATATATATATTATTTAGTATGACATTTTTTATTTGTGCGACTTACTTGTGTTATATTATAATAATTTTTTTAGCTTACAACATATAACTACATTAAACATAAATATATCAATTGATAAATAATTTTATTTTTCTAGTGAATTTTAATAAATATAATTATCTTTTGTTATTACAAAAATAAATATAATTTATTTATTTCAATATATACAATATGGATATCAAATCGACGATCATCAAAAGATGATTTATTTGATATATTATATATGTAAAACTGATAAGAAATACAAAAGTTATTAACTTTTAAAATACATTTACAATTTAATACCTAATTGAAGGAAACAAATCAAAAGTCGGAGTTAGTGCCTCACTATAGAAAATTATAAGGAATTAAAAGGTTATATTAGTACAAGTGATATAAAAATACCTAAGTTAGTTAAATAATGTTTATGAAATATCCGAACCTAGATTATTAATTATTAATACATCAATATTATTTGTTCAAACCTAATTACGAAGCATGATTCTTCGCCAAGTAGGATTCCGAAGCACCAGAAACAGTCACGTCGGCTCAACGTATTTGGGAATTATATATAGGAGTATATCAATATTATTTGTCCAAACCTAATTACGAAGCATGATTCTTCACCATGTAAGATTTCGAAACACTAGAAACAGCCACGTAGACTTAGCGAATTATATATAGGAGGATTTTCTTATGAAAATGAACTTGGATTTAAACACACCATAAACTGTTACTGTGGTCATCGAACCAAACAAACCTTCATTATCATATAATTCTTTCTCTGCCTCTGTCCGGCTATCGCCGCCGCCGCCAGCCACCATCTTCCGCCGGTAATTCCTATCTTCACTCTCTCTTCTCAAATTGTTAATAGGGCTTAAATTTTCTTGGTCAGTTCGTATCGCATTCCATTTGTTCGGTAGTTTGGATTTGGTGATGTAATATTCTGTTGGGTCATTGGGTTTTATGTGTTTTCGTATTCGATTAGATTAAGATTCATGAGTTGCTTTTGCAAGAATGGAATGTTATGTGGAACCTGTAAATTTATCCTGATTAGTAACCTAACAAAAATTTATTGCATAAACTGCCATTGACGGCACAGTTTGAACATACGACGTAAGGGAACTTTAACTTTAACGGGGTGAAAATGTTACTTGTATTGAGCTAGAAAAGAAAAATGAAAATGGGTTAAGGGCAGACCAGGTTGGTTGGAAGTTGAAAGAAGTTGCTAATTCTATCACCAGACAATGTTTAAGTACTCTGATGGTAATATAAGGCCTTCTCTAGTCTTTTTTTTATCCAAAGCCAACGTGACAGAGATCATGTGAAAGCAAGACACCGCATAAATGGTGGAGAGTACATAGAATCCTGCCCGGGAAGAGCTTTTCCCCTTGATTAATGCTGTTTCAAGAGTCCTTAGGTTCACTTGATTGATGTTGTTTCAAATGTTCTTAGGTCCAACTAAGTGTCGGATGAGCAGCTTTCAAAGGCGTGTGTGAATTGTATGTAAGAGTGATAGTGATACTTTCTTCTAAGACAATGGCTACAATTGTTATTTATTGAAATCTATTATTCCCTATGTCTGTTTTCTTTCTTCTTATTAATAGTGTCATATTCGGCTATTTGTTGATCTACTTTTCATATTCTGATGAATTTATGAGTTTATGTTTGAAATCTGGCTATCTTCTACAAGGTACTCTTAGATTTAAGGCGGCCAAAGAAAAAGCAACTTGCTTGATTCTTAATTCACATGATATCTTCTTACTAGCTATGTTACCTATGGGGAGAGGATTGGCACAAGGATTAATTTATATGCAGGCTCAATATTTATTTCCTGCTCTATACTACAATCTACTACTATAGATCTAGGTTGACAAAAAGAAAGTAGTTTGCTTGATGCTTTATCCGAAGTATGAGGTTGTTTATCTCTTTGGTGTTTTTAATTTTGTTATATTTTGTTGCACAGCATACGACGATTATTTTTGGTGTTTGAGGATATGGCTGCCGCAAGCCTGCTCGCCCTAAACTGATCAAGCCTTAAAAACCTCAGCTTTGTTCTATTGATGAAAACTCAGTCACCCCATATGAGTAGATATAGAGGAGGTAATTTATCTACTTTTCATACTTTGATTAATTAATTAGTTTATATTTATAACTCTGGCTACCTACTACAAGCTTGGTGCTTTATCCACGTAATTTCTTCATGCTTGCAGATTTTTTGAGCAGGATTGACAGAAGACCTCAAATTATATCTTCATTATTAAGGTTTCTGCGAAGTGTAAGTTGCCCCAGGAGCTATACATACATATATATATATATATTATTTGTTTTAATTTGATTTGATTTTCAGGATGATGAAATAAGTGAACCTCCAGATGATGTTTGTGGGGAAAGAACCACCTTTAGTGAACCACGAAACACTGTTGTTAGCCCCGAATTTGACGTGACAGGTGATTTGGAAAATTTGATCGATGAGCTACCCGACGACATTCTCATTTCCATTCTCTCCCGGTTGAGTTTGAAACAAGCTGCACAAAGCACCATCTTGTCTCGTAGGTGGGTTAAACTATGGACGCTCACCCGCAGATTGGTTTTTGAAGACCCAAAATTCAATTCCAAATCCCTTGAGGCCTTAAGGCAAAATTTCATTAGTCGGGTCAACAACACACTCCTATCACATCAGGGGAATTTCATTAGTTGGGTCAACAACACACTACTATCACATCAGGGGATGACTTTGGACGAGTTCACCGTATGTTTTGACCTCGACGCGGGAACTTGCGTGCCTGATATCGACAAGTGGATCGTATTTGCTCTTGAAAAGAGGGCACGATGCCTTTGCTTGGGATTTGATTGTTTGTCAAGCAAATACACCCTCACGACTCGGTTTCTTGCCTGTCAAGCCATTTGTTTCCTTGAAGTTGTCCGCTTGAGCTCATTGCAGGTGAGTGAGGAAGTCGTGGAGCACATTCTATCCGCTTGCCCCTTGCTTCGGCTGCTTAGATTGGAGGATTCAGAATCCCTTGCGCGGCTTCGGGTTTCGAGCCCTGTCCCAATCTTAAAACATTGGAAATAATGGACTGCCCGTTGGAATACATAGAAATTTCTTCAGCCACTAGTCTTGTGTCCTTTTCGTACAGCGGTCCGAGGCCAAAGGGATCTATTACAACGTCCCGAATCTAGTGGAGGCTTCCGTTGGGGGAGAATGTGCGGACTTTGTTGTTGACAGCAGCTGCCACTTTTCGGGCTTCCTCTCGCGAATGGGGACGCTTGATCTCAACTTGGAATTCAAGGTAGCATTTTTAGTGAACTGTGAATTGTGAATTAATAAAAAGAGATTTAAAAGTTCACTAATCCGTACTTACCACATGTTAAATTGATAGAGATTTAAAAGTTTCCCAGAATTACCGAGCATGAAGAATCTCAAGCGCTTGGAGCTGCATTTGTGTGGATATTTTGTTGAGAGCCTTCTCTTTTGTGCGGATATATTGGAGACTTGTTGTTTATTGCAGAGACTCACATTAAAGGTCAATCCTACTTGTTATTTCCCATTCTCATTGCTAATTTTGCTATGCCTCGTTTTTTCTTCATTCGTGTTAGTTTTCTTAGTTGTGAATATCTTTACATGGTTTGCCGTGTTTCGTGAAAGCCACAGTATTATGTTTTTTTGCTTTTAGATTATAGCTTGATTTCCTTCTTGTACAAAAGAACTTGTTCCTTTGACCATTTATTGCTTGATTAGGCCAATACCACTCAGTAACACCAACATATTTGATCAGTCGACATCTTGCTGTGCTTTTCTATTATTTCATTTTTATCGTCCCTTTGTAGCAGGTTTCATGGCCGTTTTGGCATGAGGTATATAGGGACCGTGTGGAGGAGATGGAGGCAGAACCAGAGCACGAGCATCTCAAGGTAATCGAGTTTGTTGGATTTCAGGGAGGTGTTGTTGAAGTTGAGCTGCTGTTGTGTTTAATGGGCAGAGCCGTTTCTCTCAAGAGCTTGATAATCCATCCCTCATTCGAGCATCTTTTCCACGTAAAAATGCGCTGCGAGAAAGCAACAGCTGTTGCAAAGCAGCTCAAAACAAGGTTGCCTCCGGGTGCAGAACTGGTGATAATCCATCCTTGATGTAGAAGAATCTTTGATTCTATTTAAGCATATTTTATGCTTTACTGAAAATTCTTTAAACTTTACGTAGTCTACTTTTAACTTTATTTTTCTTTCGATCGGTACTTTTGACTTTATTATATAATAATGAGGGGAGGATACCGAAACTGTTTTATTTATTTATTTATTAATTATTATTTTCGCGATTTTCATTTCTACGTCTTCATTATTTTAAAGATTAATTTCAAGTGTTGGAATTGATCTAGAGTTTTTGAAAGAGTTATGTTTGACGTTCAAGATAGTTGTTCCTGCTGTTTTTTCTTGCAAATTTGTTCCCATAGGATTTGGCCCGTTGCAAAACTAGTCCTACTCGATGAAAATTAAGTCCTTAACTTTTTTTTTGGTTGCGAAAGTAGTCCCAAAGCCGTCAACATTAATGGGGGTGTCACATGCTAGTCACGTGGCCATTAGTCGTTAGGTTGGAAAGGGAGGAAACTACAAATTTGGTCCTATAAGATTGATTGTGTTGCAAATTTAGTCTCAAGTGTTGTAAAAATGGTCTTTTCACTATTTTTTGTTGCAATTTTTATGTCGTGGGTATTAACAATCTTTCATAGTAAAAGTAGTTTTGAGACAAAAAATAATAATTAATTTACAATGTTTTTTATATTTGGAATCATTTTTAATTAAATAATAAATGCATAGTAAAATAATTATTTAATTTTATAAGAATTATAGAATTATAGAGGTTAACAAAATTTTAAAAATAAAAATATTATCAACTACTATTATGAAAATTGGGTCAAATAGGCCGTTGAATCGAGAATCGGTCAACTAAACTGTTAGGTTTCTATGAACGAATTGGTTTTCAATGAACCGTTCAAAATTGTTGAATGGTCTGGTCAATTATATACTTTTTTTACCAAGTTAATTTATATTTATAAATTTTTAATATAAATATAAATTTAATTATATTTGATATATATACATTCAAATATATCTATATTTATATTATTAATATATTAAAAAATAAAATATTAGTGAACATTGTTGAAAGAAAGTTTTTTCGTGTAAGTTGACAAAATGGTAGTCAAGATTGTTAAAAAATAATTGAACAGTCCGATCAACCAATTCCGACTGGTTCATTGGAAATCGGTTCGTTCAAATAAGTTCAACCGTTTAGTTGACTGAGTCTCGATTTAACAACCAGTTTGGCCAAGTTTTCACAACACTAATAGTTGATATTATTTATATTTAAATTTATATTATTAAAATTTTATTAACCTTTACATTATATGTTTATTTTTTATCAACCACTATAATTATAATAAAATAAAAGAATTATTTTCTAAATATATTTATTATTTAATTAAAAATATTTGAAAGATAGAAAACATTTTATTGTAATTAATTTTATTAATTTAATAATAATATGAATTTAAATATACAGTAATTGGAGATAAATCTCCAATCCATTGTTCATTTTCTTGTTCAGTCCCTAAGTCTTTTTTTTTTTCCACTGCACTCCCAACCAAAACCTTCTCTTTCCTATTCAGTCCATATATATATATATACTAATATTATTATTAATAATTTACTTCTTGTGAAATGCTAGATTTAGAAAGAATGGGGTTTATTATGAGTTTGTTTTTTCATCAGTAGTCGTGTTTAAGTCTGTACAAATGCAAGACATGTTGTGAAATGGTAAGACTCAGAAAGAATGAGATCTATTATGTGTTAGCTTTTTCACGGGTAGTCGAATTTAAAGCTGTTGCCACTCGTATGAGTTATGAGATTAGGGAGTGGATGTCAAGACACTTTCCTTAACCAAGAGTCTTGTGGGAAGAACCATGGAGCAGCACCCAGAAGTGTTCATTGAAAAAGGGCTAAGAGCATCTAGTCAGTTGGCTGAGGCAGTTCATTGATGGACTGTGGTAAACCGGTCATTTGGTCGATAAGTTCGAATCGTGGATTTGATCATTAACCAAATAAGCGTTGTGTGCGCATTGAAAATGTGGTGGTACTTTTGTAATATGGGTAGACAACATCCTAATCACTGGACACTGTGAAAATGTTGAGAGACGCAAGGGTATGGTTATCCAAGTAGATGGATATAAAGGATTCAGAATCAACAAATGTTCTTGAAATTGAGGATCACAAGAAAGATATGTTGCGATCATCCCGAATTTCATGTTCAGATACTATCATAAGGCTTATTCTAAGTATGCATGATACATAGACAGTCCTTATGCATGGCAATATGAAGCCTAATATATGTAATAAATGATGTCTGATATTTATTACTAAAGGCAACATAGTTAGTAAATATCGAAGCAATCTTGGATATGAGCAATTGGTTCATGGTAGAACATATGATCAAGCGTCGTAGCTGGCCTAAAGATAATATGTAGGGTTACCAATGTTGGGATCTCGTTATGCACATATCACGAATTCAATAGCAACGTAAACCTATGCGCAGCGGATCTAAATGTTTGCGTAGAGAACTTACGGTTTAAAATTTATGGCGATTTGGATGATCTTCTGGATGGTCGTACACAGCACACCAATGGAAAGTAGTCTGCAAATCACGTCCTACGGTTGCACGAACAAGATCGGATCGAAAATTGCATCAAATGGGTGCAAACGAAAGAAGACTATATTGCAGTCCTCGGAGCTTGCGGCGGCGCATGGGGGCGCGTGCAGCGTCGGATGGCGGCGATATTGGCAGCGTGGGAAAGCTCTCGTCGATACGGTCGCCTGGGTATGCTGCACGTCTTGATCGGACCTCCGGTTAGTTATGTACGATAAAATATATTTCGTGTCGGTTTACCTACTGATCTTCTACTGTATGTCTCACACACCTCTTAATCCCTTACCGGTGGAACAACAAGAAGAAGATAAAACTCAAATGGAACTGAGAGAGAGAATGGGGAAGCGTGATTGGCGTGTAAGAGGAGGTCTTCACTCTTTCCATTAGCTTAATGATGTATATATAAAGCTACAGTAGGGTCCCTTAGGAGATTAGGATTAGATACTTGTGGACTAAGCCATTTATTTTAATTAATTAAATAATATTAAATGGACCACCAACATAATATTATTGCACTCTATTTTCCTAGCCCAATTTACAATTGAGATTCCATGATAATTACTCGATTTATCTCCCCATGTTTAAGATATAATGTCCATTAATTTATTCGATTACTGACAATCAATAATTAATTAATTTATTGTTATTTCATCGAAGCTAGCGCTCGTTCAACACATTATTACTATGCCGAAATTTAATCCACTTGCAGGGTTTAGCATAATAGTCCTTCATGAACTCACTCCGGAGACATCATCAAACTAACACACACGGTGACCGTAAATATCTTAACAACACATCCTACATGCAACAATATTACCCAAGACAATGGGTCTATTGGCCCAGTTCACTAAGCCTCACCCATGTGAATCAAAGTAATAAGTACTACACATATATGCATGTTTAATATCTTACGGGTTAAGAGTACGCAATAATTAACCGAGGCCTAATTCGTTTACGATGATCAGTATAAAATGAATTGCTCCTCTCTGGGATCTTGTTCAATACATAAATGTACAAGTGCAACTAATCAGTCAAGACAAACTGTACGGTTGACAATACAATCGTTCACGATGGGGTGTTCAAGTCCATTTGGGTTGTGAACCAATTATTCTTGTTTCGCGAGTAACTGATAACATGATTTTTGGTTCGCCCGATGACGACCCACACTATCTAATGCAAAACAACAGAACGTAGAACTTGTTTAATCTAACATGTTTCTCATTCATAAAAGGTAAAAGTGTAATATCATTCAAAGCCAAGCTTTAAGTATAAAACACTAACAATCTCCCACTTATACTTAAAGCTTTCACTTTTACAAGTATAGTCCTATCAATTTGTTGTTCTAAAAGATCTATGTCGATCCTATCGCCATTCACTTGACTCTCGTTCCTGTCACGTTTTTTACGAAGACCTTCTCCGGCAAACTTCTTGTGAAAAAATTAGATAGGTTGTCCTCAGATGCAATCTTGGCAACATCAACGTCTCCTCTACCAACTATCTCTCGGATTAGATGGTACTTGCGCTCTATGTGTTTACTTGCTATGTGGGCTCGTGGTTGTTGAGTTTGCTACTGCTCCACTGTTATCATAGTACACGGTGATACCACGTGGCAAACTCGGAATCACCTATAAGTCCACTAAGAAGTTTCTGAGCCAAACTACCTCTTTCGCTGCCTCTGAGGTTGCTATGTACTCGGCTTCCATGGTGGAGTCTGCCACGCATTTCTTCTTAGCACTCCTCCATGAAATGGCTCCACCTCCCAAGGTAAACACATAACCAGAGGTTGACTTACTCTCGTCCCTATCTGACTGGAAATCAGAATCACTGGAACCTAGAGGTAACAAGTTGTCTACACGGTAAACTAACATGTACTCCTCAGTCTTTCTCAAGTACTTGAGTATATGCTTCACTGCAGACCAATGTTCTCTACCCGGATTACTTTGATATCTAGCTACTAAGCCGTAGCTGATATCTGACATGGTACAAAGAATAGCATACATAAGACTTCCTACTGCCGATGCATAAGGAACTGTCTTCATGTCCTCAATCTCTTGAGACGTCTTGGGAGACATCTCCTTAGAGAGAGGGATTCCTTTCCTGAAAGGCAAGGCACCTTTCTTGGAATACTACATGCTGAACCTAGCCAAGACAGTATCTATGTATGAAGACTGGGATAAGCACAACATTCTCTTCTTACGGTCTCGAACGACCCTAATACAAAGAATGTGTCCCGCTTCTCATAAGTCCTCCATATCAAACTGCTTAGACAACCATACCTTTACGTCTGACAACTCATTCTTACCATTTCCAATAAGAAGTATGTCATCCACATACAACATAAGAAACACCACCACGCTCCCACTGATTTTTTTGTACATGCAGTGCTCATCCGAACATTAAGTGAACTCGTATGACTGGATCACCTCATCGA